TTTGATTTATTGCTGTAAAAAATACATATGCTCTGTTAAAATAAAAACATCGAACTCTCTATGGATCAGTTTTAATAATTAATATTACTAGGATCCACTTGGATTATATATCAACGTTTCGATTACCTGTACTATATATATATATATATATATATATATATATATATATATATATATATATAAAAGGCATTTTTATGTTTATACATTTTTTATAGATACAAATATTTAAGTAAATACTCTGTTTTATAATAAACAGTATTAACAACATTTACTTGCCTGAGCGTCCGAGAAATTTTCATAGAAAATATTCATCCCCCGACAGTAATCGAACCTGTATCCTATACGGGACCGTCATATTGCCTAACGTGCGTTTAACCGATTTGGCCACAGTGGAGCGTTCGGTTATCAAGGTCTATTTTACTGTTTTTAAACTACAATTTTCCATGATTTTCTCACGTACACTCATATCTGCTCATGGCGTATCCAAATGTAAAAAAATGACGTCACACATTATGAAATGGACAAAGTCCGACAATTATTTTAAGACATTTTTATGTTTATACATCCTTTTTTATAGATACAAATATTTAAGTAAGTGCACTGTTTATAAAAAACATTGTTAAACAACATTTACTGTCTTGAATGTCCAAGAAATTGTCATAGAAAATTGACATTACCGATTTTTTGTTTTTTCATAATAAGCTGGGATTGGGTCGCTCCAACCGAGATACGGTAGTCCATCTTGGATCCAATCCAGAGGGTCTCAAAGTGGGTTCCAAGGAATCCAGAGGTTCCTCAAAGGAGCGTAAGGCGTTCCGTGACAAAAGTTCAGAAAAATAATTGTTTAACATAACACATTATGAAGATTGGTAAATAATTTCTAAAAAAAAAACAAACTGGCCAACAGATTTAGATTGTTCTATAATGTTGTGATATATCTTGTAATACTTATAATACATAAGTATGGTATATAAGTATATATATATATATATATATTCATGAATTATTCACACAAAAACAAATGCAAAGGTTAATGATTTAATTGGCGAGAAATCCATCGTCGCAAACAATTCAAATCCTTGTTTCCATAAATTTTCATTCATAACAGATTCGGCGGTTTTGTATATTATTTGAATTGTTTGCGACGATGGATTTCTCGCCAATTAAATCATTAACCTTTGCATTTGTTTTTGTGTGAATAATTCATGAATTTGTAAATTGATTGCACGTTTATCAAATAATATATATATATATATATATATATATATATATATATATATATATATATATATAGTAGTTATTGATTGTGATATCATCTGTGTACTATGACACCACACAAATCTGAAAGTAAATTTTCTCGCCATATTGGAAAAAGCCCTGGTTGCTAATTGACTCTCGTTGGCGTAACTTTTGTGTGTATACATTGCGGTTAAAAATACAACACCAACCTACTTATATGGAAGTGGATTTTCCCATTACACTGCCATAAAATCTAAATATCGAAGTAGACTTGATCCTGCTGCTGACTTGAGTCTCAAACTCAAGTATAAAGTCAAATATTAAAAAGATCATGACAATATGAAACAGAAGAATTGTTCTCATTAAATGTTCCCAAAAATTCTGATTACGTATTAAATAAATTTTATGTTAACATTTTTTGCAATTCTGAATAATGTGTTTTTTTTGTGAAGTATTAAATTTAAAAAAAACGATTTTTATTAAAAATATATCAATAATGATTATTTTTTAATTGCTTTTTGAATTTACTTATCATTTATAAAAGTGTATGAAAACATTACGATCATATAAAAGTATTAGTATCAGAGGTTTCCTCCAAAATTTCTGAACCCACGTCTCAAAAGTTTGGGAAACTCTGGAATCTGACTCTTGTAAAGATAGAAAATAGCAGGTTAGTTAGTTGCTTTCGTATTTGTTTAGCGGCATATCACCATCTATAAGTTGTTTAATGCTGAAATTTAAAGTTTTTGTATGCTTTTTTTTATTTTTTGAAGATAATTATAGTTTAATTTGGTTTGGTTTTGTTTGTTTTACTATATATCAACTTCAATAGGTTATTTAATGCCGACAAAGATTTTATTGCTGGTTATAGTTTTTTTTTTACAAAAATATATTGCTGGTAATATTTTATTTCATCCAAAAATGTATTGCTGATAATTCTTTTTTCCCCAGTAATGTAGTGCTGGTAATAACTTTTTCCTTCAAAAATTCATTGTTAGGAATAATTTCCCAAAATATATTGCTGGTAATATTTTTTCTTCCAAAAATGTATTCGTGGTAATATTTTTACTTCCAAAAATGTATTGCTGGTAATATTTTTTTTTCAAAAAATGTATTGGTGGTAATATAATTTTCTTCTAAACATGTATTGCTGGTAATATTTTTATCTTCCAAAAATATATTGCTGGTAATAATTTTTTTCTCCCAAAAATGTATTCGTGGTAATATTTTTACTTCCAAAAATGTATTGCTGGTAATATTTTTTTTTCAAAAAATATTTGGGGGTAATATAATTTTCTTCTAAACATGTATTGCTGGTAATATTTTTTTCTTCCAAAAATATATAGCTGGTAATAATTTTTTTCTTCCAAAAATGTATTCGTGGTAATATTTTTTCTTCCAAAAATGTATTGCTGGTAATTTTTTTTTTTTAAATGTATTGGTGGTAATATAATTTTCTTCTAAACATGTATTGCTGGTAATATTTTTTTCTTCCAAAAATATATTGCTGGTAATAATTTTTTTCTTCCAAAAATGTATTCGTGGTAATATTTTTTCTTCCAAAAATGTATTGCTGGTAAGATTTTTTTTCAAAAAATGTATTGGTGGTAATATAATTTTCTTCTAAACATGTATTGCTGGTAATATTTTTTTCTTCAAAAAATGTATTAGTGGTAATATTTTTTCTTGTAAAAATGTGTTGCTGCTAATATTTTTTTCTTCCATAAATGTACTGGTGGTAATTAATTTCTCTTCAAAAATGTATTACTGGTAATAATGTATTGCTTGTAGTAACTTTTTCCTTCAAAAATACATTAATGGTAATTCTTTTTTCTTCAAAAATGGCTTGCTTGTAATAATATATTGCACGTAATAAATTTTTTCTTCAAAAATTCACTGCTGGTAATAATTTTTTCGTTTTTATTGCAGGTAGTATTTTTTCTCCCAAAAATGTATTGCTGTTAATACTTTTTTCTTCAAAAATGTATTTCAAGTAATAATTTCTTCCCTCAAAAATTCATTGTTGTTAATATTTTTTTATTCCAAAAATATATTGCTGGTAATATTTTTTCTTCAAAATTGATTGCTGGTAATAGTTTTTTTCAAAAATGTATTGTTAATAAAACCTATTTTCATACGTTTTGACCCCAGTTTAGGGCTTAACTATTTGCCCATGGTTAGGACGCTAACAGGTGCAACCACCCATGCAAACACGAGCAATTAAGAGGTTGTTCCACGCTCCTCAAAACTTCCTTATCAGAGGTCTTGCTGCCAGATGTAGTTTATCGTCTTACCCAGAATTGGATTATGATAGCTTTAGTAATACAAGTTTTACTAATTAATTAGATGTGAGAAAAAGAGATCATGTCATACATTTCCCAAGTGTATTTGCAATAGGCAACAATAAACTACAGAACTCAAATTTGATCGCTGCATTTAAATATTGCATTAATATTTATGCTAACTTTTAAAAGATCAACGATAATTATTCAGCCGCCACTTAATTTAAATACAATTTGATGTACGTAGGTCCTTACTTTCCGTACAAGCAATTATTTGAAAATGCTTATAACTGGTTTTGACAATTCTGAGCCGTTATCCATTACACCACCCGCATATCCAATCTTATAGCACAATTCCTCACAATTCGTCGTATACTGGAAGAGATGAAAAAAATTCAACAAAGAGGTCACAATCTATTTTTTTGACTTTGGCAAGACGTTTGATTCCATCAACAGAGACCTCATGTTTAAAGTCATCCACCTCTATAGTATACCTTCCATAATTGCTGAAGACATCTTTACAGAAACACCATTGTATCGCCTGGCGATGAGATTAATTCCTTTGAAGCAAGTTGACGTCCTTGCTCCTTTTCTGTTGATAGTTTTTCTGGACTATGTTCTGCGTATTTTTCTCGACAACATGGAGGAAAAAGAACTCCTCAAAGAAACCTCACCAGAGTAGTCGATACCCACTACTATACCTGACTGACCTTGACTTTGCCGACGATCTTGCATTAGTTTCTCAATGCATCAAGGATGCAGAATCCTTGCTGCAATCACTCGAGCAAGCAAGCGAATCAGGTAGGTCTCTATTGCAATATGAGTAAGACAGAATACATTACAACCTCCCTTGAACCGTCTGAGTTGAAGTCACTCAATAATACATCCATCAAAAGAGTTAAGGACTTCAAATATCTTGGACCTCACATAATAGATTCCCAAAAAGACTTCAACATCCGCAAAGCTCTTGGGATGCGTGTTACAAACTTCACAAGACTTGGAGCTTGAACCTTCCATCCTCCTTAAAAGTCGAAACCTTTCGAACATTGATTAAACCAGTCCTACTGTATGGATCAGAAACTTGAACATTATCTGCTCGTCTTGAAAGACGACTGGATGGAACACATACAAAACTACTTAGAAAAATCCAGAACATCAGTTGGAGAAGACATGCAACGTTTAACACAATTTACGGAGAACTGAGACCAATCTCTCTTATGCTCAAACAAAAATGATTACAGTTTGCCGGCTACTGGCCCCAAGCGGACAGGGAAATCGTCTCATCCTTACTTCTATGGCATCCTTCCGGAAGTGTCTTTTCACGAAAATTGACTTTCCCAGACACCATAGCACGAGACTCAGGGTTGAAAATTTGGCATCTTGGGACAGCAATGCTGGACAGAACAGTGTGGAAATTGATTGTCAATGGAGTTCCGAACAACCATAGAGAGGTCGAAGGACGATGATAATGATGATAAAACCTGCTATTGCCAAGAGGTTACCCATCATGGTACTGACCAGGCTCGATATTGCTTAACTTCGGTGATTGTACAGGAACCGGTATCTCAACGTGATGTGGCCGGCAACCCAACATCGTAGATGGTGCCAGACTTTTTCCGTAGATGTATAAATTCGCCGACTATTATTTTAGAGGCGTCTTTAGCTAAGGATCGGGTATATAAATTACATGAAGTCTGTTGCGAACTTCGCTCCCTTGAGTAAGCAACCATTCATTGTGATAATTTAGTATTAGTTCAATGATGACGAGAAAACAGGAAGTGGAAATTATGAGGATATGGGGGATATACAACGAATGACCGTTGAATAAGTGTTTATGATGAAACTGTTCATGGAAAATTACGGTTCTTGTAAAAAACGCTGAGTGGAGTATTTCTACAATAGGAAGCCTTTTTAAATCAGACCTTGTGCCAGGATTTTTTTGAGGTATTAGCAAAGGTATTCTAATCTATATTTAACCATTACATGGCTGTTACTCCTTCCTCGCTCTATACTAATCACTGGTGACTGCATTGCTATCAAATATTGGGTGGGTGGCAGTATATTCAATCTCCGGGTACTCAAAACTATATAGAATGAAAATACACCTAACATCTGTGACCTACATACTTCAGAGGATATAGAATATCCGGTTCCGGCCCGCCCGTTCTTTTAGACAAACATCGATATTTATAATCAATTCACCACTGTCGGTAACGTCAGAGCAGGAGAAAAAAAAAGCAGACGCCTTCAGCTGCATTTTTGATTCCTAAAAAGAAGAAGAATCATCTTATTATAATTGGGTTTGACACTCCGTTAATTCCCACGGCCGTTACGTCCTGCCAATACTTCCATAAATAATGGACTATCCCGTTTTGATCACATAAACAGAGGTAAAAATACACCACTTGCTTTCAATGATAAAATGAAAGAGAGAAGGGAAGATAAAAGTGTCTAACGTCAGCTTCAGTAAAAAAAAAAGTAATGTCAAATGTAAAAAGTTATCAGTTTGAAATATTTTCAGTTGTACCCCCTTACTTCTTGAAATAACGACCTGCCTTCATATTTATGATTGTCATCGCAATATTTTGTTAAAGTTGTTAAACGTAAATATTTAACAATGTGATAGGTGAATTTCTACGGATATTTTATTGACGTAGAACTCGCCATGAGTTTATTCAATCATTCACTTAAGAAAGTAAGATTCATAAGAATATTAAAACAGAAAAACCGTGAATTTTTCACGGATTAAAACTAATTCTTCTTCTTCTTCTTCTTCTTCTTCTTCTTCTTCTTCTTCTTCTTCTTATTTCTTTTGATAGAATCCTACGCAAAAGTCTTTCATCAGAGAACTCAGGTAAGTCAAAGTTTGTTTTTTTTTAAATTCTATGAAAAGGTCTCATCAACAAAATAATTTCAATTCTTTTAACAAAATGCTCACTTCAAAGGTAAATGGCAGCTTACACGTGAGATCAAGAAAGGAACGTAGGAATGATGGCAGGATTGGAAAAGAAAGAAAGAAAGAAAGAAAGAAAGAAAGAAAGAAAGACTGTAATAGAAAGAAAGAAAGAAACAAACAAACAATGTCTAACATCTCCAGCCTAATAAATTCCGTTTTGATCGTTTGGAAAGAGTGGGAAACCCCTACTTAGTTTCAACAGTAAGGAAGGAAGGAAGGGAGGAAGGAAGGAAGGAAGGACTGGAAAAGAAAGAAAGAAAGAAAGAAAGAAAGAAAGAAAGAAAGAAAGGACTGGAAAAGAAAGAAAGAAAGAAAGGAAGAAAGAAAGCGAAGATAGAATTGTTTTAATTTTCAGTGAAATGTAAAAAGTCGTCAATTTGAATTTTTTTTTCATTTGTACCCCCTTACTTCTTAAAATAACGACCAGCATGCATATTCTGTGTTGTCATTGCAATATTTAAGTTCAAATATTTAACGATGCGATAGGTGAATTTCTACGGATATTTTATTGACGTAGAACTCGCCATGAGTTTATTCAATCATACATTTAAGAATTAACATTAAATTAGGAAAACCGTGACATTTTCACGGGTTAAAAACTAATTCTTCTTCTTCTTCTTCTTCTTCTTCTTCTTCTTCTTCTTCTTCTTCTTCTTCTTATTTCTTTTGATAGAATCCTACGCAAAAGTCTTTCATCAGAGAACTCAGGTAAGTCAAGAAAGAAAGAAAGAAAGAAAGAAAGAAAGAAAGAAAGAAAGAAAGAAAGACTGTAATATAAAGAAAGAAAGAAACAAACAAACAAACAAACAAACATAGGAAGTCAGGACTGGAAAAGAAAGAAAGAAAGAAAGAAAGAAAGAAAGACTGTAATAGAAAGAAAGAAAGAAGGAAAGAAAGAAAGAAAGAAACAAACAAACAAAGGAAGTCAGGACTGCAAAAGAAAGAAAGAAAGAAAGAAAGAAAGAAAGAAAGAAAGAAGGACTGTAAAAGAAAGAAAGAAACAAACAAACAAAGAAACGAACACATAAACAAACATGGGAAGTCAGGACTGGAAAAGAAAGAAAGAAAGAAAGAAAGAAAGAAAGAAAGAAAGGGAAGATAGAATTGTTTTAATTTTCAGTGAAATGCAAAATGTTATCAATTTCAAATCTTTTCATTTGTACCCCCTTACTTCTTAAAATCACGACCTGAATTCTTATTTATGATTGTTATTGCAATATTTTGTTATATTTGTTAATTGCAAATATTTATCTATGCGATAGTGGAATTTCTACGGATATTTATTGTCACAGAACTCTCCATGACCTTATGAACTGAAGAATTAAGATTCATCAAAAATTTCAAATAGGAAACCAGGAAAATTTTCATGTGTATTCCTAATATACAATAAATAGTCTTGGTGTCTGTTGTGTATGATACACCTAATTTACATAAGCGGACTACCGACCATATAAATATGGGTTGGTACCGGAAGACAGGGGGATAAGATTCTTTGTTTGCCGACTGAATTTTTTATGCAGGAGACTCTGCCCAAACTAACTGTAAATATTGTGTACCTTTCTTTGTTTCAATTATTTTGCAGGAACTTTTTTAAGTAATATTCCAAACTAACTGACTTAAAAATATTGAAACAAAGAATAGGTACCAATATTTCTTTGTTTGGTATATTTTGGAAGACTGTTCCTGCATAATGGGTTGACTAAATCGCAGTCGGGCAGAGTCTCTGGATTCAATTTCTTAATCTCTACTATCTTCCCCGTCTTCCGGTACCAACCCATATTTATATGGTCGGTAGTCCGCTTATGTAAATTAGGTGTATCATACACAACAGTGTCAAAATGGAAATTCTGTTTTTAAGGCATAGTATCAACAAAGCTACCCACAACTCAAGAACTTTTCGGAGAATCCTCGCAGAGTTAAAGGATGGCAGTTCTCTAGGGGGTCTACCATTTTGGTATCTATTTCATTTCACCCTAAACGCTTTTTCAGTTTTCTAGGTGGTGTTCCAGGTGGGCCGATTACTACAGGAATTACTTTAACAGTCATGGTCCATAGCTTCTTCAGCTCCCAAGCGAGATCCTGTTCAATCTTTTCATTTTCTTTAGAGTTCACATGAAAAAAATCATATGAAAATACAAAATCAATAATTTGACACTAACTATTCGCCTCATAATAAAGATGTATCTTTGTGCTTCAAAGACATAATCTGTCAGCACCGAGAAATTCCATAATATCTTGTGACTGTCATTTTCCATCAAACCACAACAATTATTATTATTATTATTTTTATTTTCTTTGATTTCTGGCGTTTACACATTTCTTTCCGGGTCCCGCCCAGGGACCTAAGGTTAGAAATGGCATCATGACACTTTCCACTGACAAAAAAAAAATATTACATAGATAAAGCCCTTCGTAAAGTGTGGACTGTACTTGTCAGAACTATTTTTTGTATCTCCTTGAGGCATGGACTTCCAGGAATCCATTCAATTAGTCTACTGCAATCTTTTCCAACCAGTCCTAGGGGTCCAACTACAACAGGGATTGTTGATGTTCCCACATGCCACATTTTCGAGATTTCTATTTCAAAGTCCTTGTATTTTGACAGCTTTTTGAAGATCTTCAAAGATACATTGCAGTCAGCAGGGACTGCCATATCATTAAGGAGGCACCGTTTTTGTTTGTGGTCTTTAATAACAATATCTGGGCGGTTGGCTTTGATTGTTCTGTCAGTGTGTATTGTGTAGTCCCATAGAATTGTAACAGGTTCTATCTCCGTAACCGGGTCTGGGTGGTGTTCATACCAGTTTCTTTCAGTTTCCTTCCCGTAGAAGTTGCAGATTTTCCAGTGCAGATATTGGCCCACTCTGTCATGTCGGGTTTTATATTCAGTGGGTGCCAACATCGTGCAACCTGTTACAAGATGATCAATCGTTTCTAGATATTTATCACAGAACCTGCATTTTGGGCTGACACAATATTTTAGTATATGTGCTTGATATTTCCTAGTTAGCAAGCATTGGTCCTGTGCAGCAAGGATAAAACCTTCAGTTTCAGCTTTCAACCCTGCACTACATAGCCACTGATGGGTACGGGTTTTGTCTACGTCACCTTGTTTGGTACGGGCAGGGCATTGGCCATGAAGCGGTTTATCTTGCCATCGCTTCTTCATCTGGTCGGTTGCATTCGTCTTTGCTGTTTTTTTAAAGTATTTTGCAGTTTCAGCCGGTGTATTGTGCTTTACTTGCATCTCTACGCACATTTGAAACTCCATTTTGAATTTATTGGCTTCTTTTATTACGGAGTAAAGACGCTTACTACTTTCATGTTCCTTGACGCATACCATCATCCAGTCTTCTGTAGTTTCCAAGTATCTTTGGAGGCCAATTCTTGTAGTCTTGTAGGACAGTTCTAGTTGAAATAATCCTCTGCCTCCTTCGGATCTGGGCACATACAGACGATCAACTCATTTTCCAAGTTTAGGAACTTTTCCAAGTTGTTGAAGATGACGATGAACAGTTGTATGGTTTGAACTGAGAACCACTGCCAATTCCTCAACTGATAAAGCAGGATTTTCTTCAAGGGCTGCTTCAAAAAGCTTTTCATCAAACTCAACTGGACGTCCGGTTC